CTGCGCACACGAGTGCAGCGCTCACTCCCTCCTGTGTTCCCATCCCTGCGGCTCGGGGCCGGTGTCTGCACGGCCCGGCACGGGGGATGCACGCTTGCAGAGCGCCGGCAGTGTCTGTGGGATCTGCGCACCGTTGAGGGCTGCAGAAGCGCTCCGGTAGCTCCGCACGCTGAGTGCCGGCAGCGCCGCTCTGCAGAGCTGGCAGTCACAATTAAAAGCCCTGCCCGGTTATGATGTGCTTTCTCTCCAGATGGGAGAAGAGCAGAGCATTAGGGAATAATCAGTGTTGGCAGCATCGATTGCCGTTTGCAGAATAGCTCAGAGGACAGAATGTTGTTTGTATGCCTGAGCTAAACCTACAGTTTGTGCAGTCATCTGCAGAGCTTTTTAGAGGATGTGTGCTTTGGTTGTACTTCAGTTTATGTGTTTTGTTTTATTTTTTTTAATACGTGCAGCTGAGTTGCAGTTTGCTTTTATCTGCTTCCTGATTGGGAATGTATACGATGCATTTGAGCACTGGAAAAGGCTGTTAAACATCCTATGCCGTTCTGAAGAGGCCATTGCAAAGTATAAAGAGCTTTATGCCAATCTCATCTTCGTCCTGTATCACCAGCTGAATGAAATCCCGTCTGATTTCTTTGTGGACATCGTCTCCCAGGACAACTTTCTGACCAGCACCTTGCAGGTACGGCTGTGCTATATCTTGAACAGAGCAGAGGGCGTGCAAGGCATTGAAACAAATTCAGAGAGAAGCTTCAGGAGGAAGTAAGCTGCTGTTGAGTCTGCCAGAGATAGGGAAGCCTGTGTCCTCTGAGGACACATACGTTTCCTTTTACTTTTTCCTGATGTTGCTCACACAGAAATGCCCTCGCTCGTCATCTATGAGCTTGATCTGCTATAATGCTTTGCCTTTAGCAGATCAATCATTTGAAGCACTATGGACTGGAGGTAGTCCACATGCACGTACCAGTGAAGTGAGGCAATGAGAGATGAGACTATCAAAGGCTATTCTGCAGCACAGAATGAGGACTGTGTCTTCCTTATTATGTTTTCCTTGAAAATAGTACTGAAGGTGATCTGGTACATTTGCACGGGTTTGGAGTTTGGGAGTGGCACAACTGACATGACTGTGTGGAACCAGCATGCTTTTCCTAAAAGTGATTTGGGCTTTCAGCAGTGAAGCTGAACATCTCTGAGAGGGGCTGAGCATGTGCAAAATGATGTCTGTTGATCATTTTTTTCCCTTCCAAATACCATTCATTTAAAAATATGTAGCTTGGCGTAAAAGAGTGCTGATGGTTTTCGTAGAATCATAGAATCATAGAATGGCCTGGGTTGCAAAGGACCACAACACTCATCCAGTTCCAGCCCCCTGCTGTGTGCAGGTTGCCAACCAGCAGACCAGGCTGCCCAGAGCCACATCCAGCCTGGCCTTGAATGCCTGCAGGGATGGGGCATCCACAGCCTCCTTGGGCAACCTGTGCCAGTGCCTCACCACCATCAGGGTGAGAGACTTCTTCCTAATATCCAACCTAAACTCCCTTGTCTCACTTTAAATCCATTTCTCCTTGTCCCATCACCATCCACCCTCGTAAACAGCCATTCCCCCTCCTGTTTATCTGCTCCCTTCAAGCACTGGAAGGCCACCATGAGGTCTCCCACAGCCTTCTCTTCTCCGAGCTCAACAAGCCCAGTTCCCTCAACCTTTCCTCACAGCAGAGCTGCTCCAGCCCTCTGCTCATCTCAGTGCCTCCTCTGGACCCGCTCCCAGAGCTCCACGTCCTTCCTGTGCTGGGGGCCCCAGGCCTGGACGCAGTGCTGCAGATGGGGCTCACAAGAGCCGAGCAGAGGGGGACGATCGCCTCCCTCTTCTGCTGGCTGCCCCTTTTTCATGCAGCCCAGAACACAATTGGCCTTCTGGGCTGCAGGCGCACACTGCTGCCTCATGTCCAGCTTCTCGCTTTTGGTCAGCCTGAAATGTGTGCTCAGTGTGCACAGAAGTTGCAGTGAAACCTTATTGAGCTGAAGGCATAGATAGCATTTAAGAAGCCTTTCTGCTCCTGCCAGCTGTATGCAAAAGTGAAGATTTCCTGAAATTGTAGAATCACTCAGGATGGAAAAGACCCTAATGATCATCAAGATCTTGTTCATAGGGTATTTGTGGTTTCCTACCTGCAGAAACACACTGCTTGTGCTGAGACAGGCGTGGGCAAATCTGTACTTCAGCAGTAGTAAAACTAGTTACTCCCAGTCACTGTAACTGCTAGCAGATCAGCAGTAGACTGAAACTTTAAATCTAAGGAAAAAGTGATTTTAAAAATAAAAAACCATAAGCAAATATGCCAGTAAATCCCAGCAACAGAAGCTCAGTCCCAGCAGGAGCAGCTGTGTGCCTGGAGTGTCAGAGGTGTTCAATATAAGTGAGCAGTGCCTTCCCTTTCTCAGGGAATGGCCCCATTTCTCTGCTGGGCACTCCGGGTTCTTGCTGTGCTCCTCTTTGTTTTTTGAGGTGTTTGTTTTTAACTTGCTGGATGAAGTGATATGAGAAGCATTGCTTTAATCAAGCAATTGATTTTATTTGCCCCCACTGAAATTTTTAAGAATTTAGGTGCATAAAAGTCTTTATTATTATTTTTATTGTTTTATTTTCTTTTACCATTCCTTTAGATGACTGGAAAATCTGCTTCTATCTACAGCACACTCACAGAGCAACTCATTCACTAACCCTGTGAAATGAGAGCAGCACAAAGAATGCAGCAGCCAGCTGTTCCTTCCATGCAGTGGGAGTTCTGCAAGCACTCTGTCTTGCTGGTTATCCTCCCAGTTCAGGGGCACCTGAGTCTTTTGTGCCCTTGGATTTCATCTGCTTTTGTTTTTTATGTTGGCTGATGAAGCGGATGCCCTTAGCGTGGCTGTGTTGCCTTCAGTGATTACTGTTAGCCCCTGGCAGCAGTTACCACTTTTCTGGTAGAAAAGAAGAAATTTGCCTTTCGGTCAAACAGAGCCTCTCCTGTGAGGGGTTCTGCAGTTCTTAGCTCCTGTGGGGTTCCCCTGATGTGCTGAAATAGTGCAGGGGACCTCTGGGACTTTTAGCACTGGATATGTGCAGGTGGACTGCAAGTGTGCAGTGGGATGGAGGGGAATGCATGGTCCGAGCGTTCAGCTTTGAGTTCAGCAGTTCTGTTCTGGGGAATTTGATCTAAGGCAGGACAGAATGCTGTGTCCTTCATTGAATATGCAACCCTGACAGTGTTTAAAGGGGGAAAAAAAAAAGATAGATGAAATAAATAGGTGTTGGTGATACTGTATTACAGAACTGCTTTGGGAGGTTTCATGATCCATCCATCCAGCTGTGAAAACCCATGGGTGTAGCCACCTGTTGGCTTTGCCAGCTCATGCTGTGAAGCTGCCCACACGGCAGGTGAATTCTGTGCTTTTCTTTCCCTCCTGCTCACATGGGGATCTTTTACTCACAGCTGAGCAATGAGCATATTTCAGAATTCTGTAATACGTGTCTAATCGCATGTATGCTGCTACTTCAAACAAAGTTATGGCCGTAATGTTTGTAGCGCCAGCTGGAGGCGGGATGACTGTAGGATGAGAGGGGAATGTGGGATGAGAGTGCAGGCTCTGCTTAGGCCGGCCCAAACAGGTTTGGTTCCCCGGAAGTCTCATCCTTTCCTGGTGAACCTATCTTGCAGCGTTCCCTGCCGCATCCTGTTGATGATGCACAGCATGTGCCACAAACCTCACTGACATCTGCTTTGTTCTTTCAGGTGTTTTTTTCCTACACGTGTAATGCTGCAGTTGATGGGGCCTTACGGAAAAAAGCTGAAAAATTCAAAGCTCACCTAACGAAGAAGTTTAAATGGGACTTTGACGCAGAGCCTGACGACTGTGCTCCGGTGGTGGTAGAGCTTCCTGAGGGTGTGCTCACAGACTAAGCCAGGTGCTCGCATAGAAACAAGCAGCTTTTTAAAAATCACTTTTATTCCACACCCTTCTTAACTTTTCCAGCTTCCAAGTCATTTTCTCTTGCTGCTCTAAAGACAGATTTGGAAAAACCAGAAGGATTCCTCACCACGTGAGAAGACCAGAACTGTTGGAGCTGTTTGAACACAGCCACATGGCTTTGGACACCTTGTTTTTCTTCTAGCCCTTCTGCAATAACTTCTCATTCTGTACTGAGCAGCTCCTTGCTCTGGTCTTATCTGTCTGGCTGGAGGTGATGCATCTCACACCTGAAGCCTGTGCTGCTCCTGTTTGATGCCTCTGGAGTGAGGAGGGTAAGCTCACATGACTGGTTATAGCCTTCTGCAGCCTGAACCCAGGCTCTGAATGGAGAACTTCTACTCTTCCTGGGCTCAAATTACAGGAATGTAACCAGAAGCATTACAAAACTGTGCCAGATTTTTAGCTGCTTAATTATGATTTATTGCTATGTTGTGGAGGAGTACTCAAAGCTGCAACAGAATTCATCCCATTTTATACCACTAATACTGAAATATCTTTTCCTCTAATTCTGTTGAAACCTTTTGTACTTACTGCTGACACTCTGTTTAGCATGAAATAAAAGAATGTTAACAGTTTGATAACATTCATTACTGGACAATAGTCACCCAGGTTTTGAAGCAGAGGAGAACTAGCTTGAGGTGTGTGTCAGACTTTTACATGAACTGTACCCTTCTGTTTTGTTGTAATCAGAAACCTTTCACAAAAGATGGTCTCTTCTTTCTCCCCATCTTCCCTAAGGTGGGTTGTAGGAAAACTCTGTGGGGCTCTTTAGGCCTGCAGTCCGCTCATTAACCTTCTCCTCTGGTAGACTTCTTCAAATGTTTGTCTGTGTGCATATTGAACAAGATAACACTGCTTGTCAGTCTTTTGTAGTTAAAATAAATCTTCTTATCTTGGTCTTGTCTACAGAAAACATCTGTACAATTTTGTTATTTTATATATATATATATTATATAGCTGAAGTTTATGGTGCTGTGTGGCTGGCCTGTCTGTTTGGGATGTCCAGTGTCCCCAAAAGTAACATCACAGTGCTTTCTGTTACATCTAAGTTCAACTCATAATGAGCAGTACCTGGCAGGCACAAATGCAGCATGTTCTGGGGAGTATGTGGTGGTGTGTTTCCAAATCATCAGTAACCTACTGCAGGAATCAGCTGCCAGAAGCCCTCATGTTGCTGCCTTCATGCTGTTTCTTCACTTTCTTCAAGGGCTTTAAACTCCCTTACTCTGGTGTCTTGGTTTGACCGTTTTCAACAGGCTGAGTACTGAACATGAGCCCTTAGGAGAGGTCCCTGCAGTTTGGTGAGTGTTGTGTTCTTAACTTTATCTTTACATGCTTTCTTGGCCTTAACATCCTTGAGATCTTTTACACTCTTGTCGTCTTGCTCTTTGCTTGCCTACATCCACAGGGAGTGCTGTCTTTGCAGTTGCCATTTGGACAAATTGTAGCGGGCGTTCCCAGATTTGATGAAAGGTGCCTGTTTGATTTGTTGGCTCTTTGCACCAACTCCATGACTGATTCTGTTGCTTTAGAGCAGAACACCAGTTACTGATGTAACTAAGCAGCACAGGTAGTGTGGAGACTGGGGACCATCCTGTCTGGAAGGTGAAAAGATGAATAGTGCTTGGTGCTTGTCCTGGCTGAAAACCAGTTTGGCCCAACAGTGTCAATGCTTTGCAGACTCGTGGCAGTGCTCCTGCTTCTTGGATGGATAGGTTACTTTCAGTGTGTCTTTGGAAGTTAATCATCAGGTTTTGTTTTTGAGATTTAACAGGTGTAGCAGCCAGATTCCCATAATAAACCGCAGTTTTAACAACCGAGAACAGAAAATGTAATTATTGTTCCATCATGCTTTTGGTGAGGTTGTAATAGATGTCTCTAATTAGACCCACAAAGGAGGTGGGAAAGAAGTAGGCCTTTGGGGGCATCATCCGTTTGCTACATGTGAAACAGAAGCAAGGAACTTTCAGATAAATAGAGATTGAGGTTGAGTGCTTGGAGTTCAACTCTGTGAATCAGTTGCACGCTTAAGGAGAGGGAAGTTGGCACACATGAAGCAGCACACATTGAATGTTTGCAAGGGGAGATGGTCATAAATCTGGGAGGGGAAGGAGATGAGGGCTGTTACTCTTGTTGAAGTCAGCAGGGCATAAATGGAAAGCTGTAGCATGTCGTGGTGGACATATTTTCTTGCCTTTGTATAGCCTGAGGCCACCTATGGCTGTGATAACACTACCCCTTCCTTCCAGCTAAAACAGCTGGATAATCTGGTATGATAATCGGAAAGCAAAAGAGAGATTTGTGTGTGTGTAAATACAGATTACTGCACGCTAATGAAGTGTAATAGGTGATGTGTTTGCAGCATTGATTCAGCAATGAATTAGAGTCAGGCAAAAACGCAGCGTGCATTATGAAATGGCACTGATGCATGAGGTATGTTGGCTTTGTGTATATGTGGAGAGTTGTCCAGCTGCAGTGAGGCAAAGTGGTATTGTTCTTGTCCTCTGATATGTGCTTTCAATGCAAATTGTGTTGGAATGTAGATTCTGCACAGTCCTGGGTGAAGGTCGTCAATTAAGGATCAACAATGGCATGAGCTGACCACTGGGTACCCGAGAGATGCACTGCAGATGGCATCTACAGTGCAAAGCCCAGTGTGATTATATTCAACCTTGGGAGCCACCATTCAATTTTCATTCCTTCATTGGCTCTTAACATTAGGCAAACCAGAGCTGAGTCTTGATGATACATATTTTGTATGATGGCCTCTGTTGTTCTGCACCACCCTGAAAAGAGTAGCTGCAAGAGTTTCATCGATCTGGCAAATGAGAAGATGTGAAACGGGTTGTACAAAGCTGTCCTTCCATCCCAGTGACAGGGCACACCTTTCATTGGGAAGAGAAATAGAACATCCTTCCCTGCCAGCTCATGCAGCCTCCGGTTTAATTTCCACCTCCTTCTCTCTCACTGTCAGAAGGGCAGGTGGACTGTGTCCATCTGATTCCAGGGGGATTTCTGCTGATGGCTTCATTGTGTCGCCAGTGAATATCCAGAGTGTAGTTTTGCATATCCAATTGACTTTATTTATTTTAACTCCTGTGACAGCAATGCGTAGAGTCCTTGAAGAGCACCGAGGTCGTGTAGTGTTAATGCCATGCAGGCACATGGAGGGGTTCTCACTGCTCGACTGCTCCATGCTTCTGCTTTGCACCACTTAATGGTGAGTTGAATTTTTGTTATTTTCTGCATGGTCTCTTACAGCAGCCCTAATCCTTCTGTGTCTGTCTTGTTTCAGCTCAAGTCTGTTTGTTACTGCTGTACCCTTATTTTCTATTCCAGAAGTGACAAATGTGAAATACTTGCTTAAGCTTATAGCAATTAACAGGAGTCTGTTGACAGAAGGCTCCTCTGCTTGGAGAAGTATTCATTTCTGCTATTGCTAAGGTGCACCTTTGTCAGCTGGACGAATAATGCCAGTGCTGTGGATGGAGCCCTTAGCACTAAGCTTCTGCAAAACGGACAAAGATGAAGCAGAACATCTTGATTCCTTCCTCTGAAAAAGGAAATAACTTCCCTTGGATCCTGCTGTTTGTTGTCCAGCAAAGCTGACAGTGCAGCGCTGTTACTATAAAAGAGATGTACTGTGAATGTTTGTTCCTTCATGATGTGGTCACCTACTCTATAGCTATTTCTGCTCCTCAGAGAACGTGAAGCTTCCTGCATTCATGCTGGGGGTAGTCCAGAGCCATCCTGCTGAGGCAAGTGCTGTACAAGCCACAGAGTGGAGCTGAAGCACAGCTGGGAGGATGCTCCAAGCAGCACGGCTGTGCTGGAGCCTGTAATTAATGCAGGGGAGGCGTTGATTCTGCAGAGGCTGCATTAAGAGCATAAATGAGTTGCAAGGCAGCCTAACTGCAAATAAATAAACTAAATCTAAATGGGTTAATCAATATGAGAAAAAATCCGTATACACAGAATATCCGAGCCACTGCTTTGGAGTTGTTGGGTGTGTCTCAGCTGGCTGAGTGCTTTGCAGTTCCACAGGGAAGGTACTCCTATCTGCTGTTGCAGTACTGGGTTGTGTGGCCATGCTGTGGCCGTGCCTTGCTGCCTGTGGGGCTCTGCTGGCTTGCCCTGCTGCACGCACTGCCCCCAGGAGCTGGTTGAGAAGGCTGTGCTGGGCTTGGCTGTTTGGTGTCACCTTTGGGCAGGCAAGGAATGAGGGTGAGAAGGAACCAATGTGAGGATATGCTGTGATCCTAATTTTTAGTTCAGGCCCCTTTGCAGACATCGTGATGGCTGTGCTGGGGGTCTGTCTGGCCATTTTCTTGTCCTGCGCCTCCTTGGTCAAACAGGACGTGTATCTGAAGCACTGAGAAGTTTCCCAAATTTCACATTCTCAAAGCCTTAATGCTTGCATGTTTTCCCCACCTGCTGGTGAGCAGTCACTAGAACTCTGCCCTAATCCTGCTGTGTCTCCGCACGTTTCCTGTCTATTTGCCAAAATTGCTCATCATCTGGTACTTGAAGCTTCTGAACGGGAGGGAGAGCAACTTTTTACATGAGCCAGGTGACAGGGCAAAGAAAAGTGACTTTAAACTGAAAGAGGAGGCTTAGCTCAGATGTGAATGGAAGTTCTCTACCAGAGGCGGTGCAGCCCCAGCACTGCTGCCCAGAGCTGTGGGTACCCCATCCCTGCAGGTGCCCGAGACCATGGCTGGGCACTGGGCAGCCCGAGCTGGGGAGCAGCCAGCACCCAGCAGGGCTGGGGGCCCTTCTGTCCGAGCCGTGCTGGGATACCGTGAGTATTGTCGCAGACCACGTGTACTTAAAGTCCGTGTTCTCCAGGAGTCCAGAGTGTGGACTCCACACCTCTGAACATCCCAGCTTCTGACCAGCCCAGAAGTAGTGCCTGCTTTCGGTCCTCAGTGAGGTCTCCTGGAGTCTTCTCTTCACCAGGCTGAATGAACCCAGCTCCCCCAGCCTTTCACCATAGCAAAGATGCTAAGAGAGAGCTTTCTTTGTGCCAGGCTCCCTGCCAAGGAGGCAGAGGCTCACCTCCCCCTGGGGCCTTCACGTGCTGGTCCTGAAGGGGCTGCCTGCTCTCGTGCCCAGCATCGCTGCCTCTGCAGAGCAACAAGACAGACTTTGCACCGTGACATCTCCTAGCAGAGGTGACTGTTCTTAGTCACAGGAAGGAGAATGATTCCTTTAATATGGTTTTCTCTGGGATTTTATCTAATTACATCAATGTGTTCACATTAATGAATAGCCAGTGCCTCCTACTGTTCCATGCAATCCCCTGTGCCCCCCAGGCTGTCCCCCGAGGGTACCTGCTGTGGGGACCACCTGGAAAAACCCTCTGTTGCAGCACGGAGGGGCAGGGAGTGGCAAGGAAATGGAGAGGAGGAGTGTGCGGACAGTGCCAGGCATCATCTCTGGTGAGAAAATGAGTTAGGATCACTGTGACACATTGCTTTTGGGCCAGGTAGAATATCTCCAGATAATGTGACTACTTTACGAGCAAATGCCTTTTATTTCTTGAGCTGAATGATTTTGCCACCAGACTAAATCCACATGTGTGTGGAAATGGTGTGGTTCCCATCTGGTGATGAAAGCATCCTGCTCAGCACTCAGTAGGAGGCAGAGCTCACCTTGCAGCCTCACTGACCTTGCAGGAGCTTGGCTGGCATGTGATCTGAACCCAGAGCTGTGCGAGGGGACAGGGACGATCCAGATCTTGCTGCCCATCACTGCCTGTTGGCCTGTGCAAAGCTGGGGTGGGCTGGTGGCCGTCTCATCACCAGGGCTGGGAATCCTTCCAGTTGTGCTGAGCACAGCCTTGAGCCGCTTGAGATTCTGCTGATCATTGCTGAGAGGCTCCCAAACTTTGTGAGAGACCTTCTGTCTGCAATCCAGCAAGGACCTGTTAAACAACCACCCAGCTGTGGTGTGTGACCACTTGGGGCCTCTTGTGGCTTTATTTCATTAGGAGGAGGTCACTGGGGAGGGCTGTGCATGTATGCATTACTGGAAGTCCACGCTAAGTGTGTTTATTTAATGGACTCAGTTTCTTAATAAGGCCAGTAACCAGTTTGGTCTAATGTTCCTTTGGGGGCTCTCATACACTTTATTCCTCAGAAGACCCGTTTCTTCTCTGTGAGGTCAGGAGCTCTCTGCATTAGCAAGATACTCCACCTTCCTTGATATTCACTGTTCCCTGCAAGGATTTTTTTTTGTACTTGCGAAGAAAATGTATCTTTAATTTACATTTTCTCCCTCTTCCTTTGCTCCTTCAATATCAAAGCACTCATCCATGCTTCAAAAGAACGTCCAGATTTTCCTGCCATGTCAGGAGTCGTAGTCCAGTTCTAACATGACTGATTCTATCTGTCACCTCTGTACTTCAGTACCAAAGCTGCAGCTTTTGTCTTCTGCCAGTAATAATTTTTTTTTTTCCCCATGTTCCTCTCATGCTCAGTAAAAGCAACTCTGAGCTGGTTCTGATGTGCCACCGTGCAAGGCCCGTGGTCTGCAAGAGCCCAGCATCTGCAGCCAGCCTTCTGTTCTCTGAATGTGCACTGAGGGTGCTGTTAAGCACCAGCACAAAGCAGGTGTGAAATATTCAGCAGAATAAAGGGCAAGGGCAGCTGAGGCCTCAAATGCTCTCAGGATGTCACAGTAATGAAAGCACCATTTCCAAGCAAGTGAAATCATTCTATCTAACATGTGAGCAGAGGGTTACTGCATCCAAGCACAGGCTGTGTCTGGGAAGTGACCTGTGAGCTTTGACTTCTTTGGTCCATGCACATAAAGCAGCAGCATCTTTATGCCTGCTCTGTAGTTAGTGGAGCTGAGGAACAGAATCTCCTGCTCAGCTGCTGCCTGACCACTCTTCTTCACCTATATCATGTTTGTGCACAAAGCTGTTTTTCCTCCACTCCATTTCTTTTTCCCTCTGCTTCTTATCCTTGCCTCTCTCAGTTCTGCTGACTTGCTGGAAAAACATGAAGGAGGAGAGTTCTGCATGCCTTTCCTGCCCCTCTGACCTGGTCTCTTTCACAGAGGAATGGAAACAGGACAAATCACTGAGTAGGAGATATGGGAGATTGGTGCTCCGGGCATTTGCTCTCCTATAGCTGACATGCAAAAGTACTGCTTTGCTCTGATTGCCCAGTACTAGTTTTGTCAGCACTGACTAGGCTACTCTATTTGGAAAATGCTCTCTGTTCTGACTTAGGACCATCACTTGCATCTCTTCTGTGACTTCTTTTTGTTGTTGTTGTTTTTTTTTTTACGTTGGCCTCAAGTATAGGAATGGCATCTAAGCAAATCCATGTGACTTCTCTGCCCAGTGGGCTTGCATTCCTCTAGGTCCCGACTTGCCAGGCTTTACAAGTCTTTCCCGACTGTCACAGTCTTTCCCGAACTCACTGGTTCATCTGTACAAGTGGACTTCAGATGAGACAGTAAGATGCTCAGGCTGGTGGTACTGCTTTCACAAGGATGAAGCCTGTGGCAGAACAGTTCTGCTTTGCAGAACCAGTGTGATACAAGGTAGGAGCAGAGGCTCTGCCTGGGCTTCTTCACCGATGACTAGGATGCTTCTCAGATCTGGCAAAACATAGCTCCTCGAAGGTGTGAAGCAGGTCTGCAGAGGTTGAGGAGGCTATGGGTCGGGCTGAGGCGCATAGGGCTGAGGGCTGCAGAAGCCATGGCCTCAGTGGAGACAGCGCTTGGAAATATCCCCCTCCCTCCTCTCCTGTCTTTGGATCCCATGCACAGCATCAGTCCTGATGGGTCCAAGAAGGTGCATGGTAGGACCTCCATGAGAGCTCTGTGTTAGCTGAACCTCTGCACATTTAAGGAGGAGAACAGTGTTTTGCTCTGAAGACCTTCCCCTGCATGGATGTCCATCTGTGTCTCCAGGAGATGAGTCAATAGTGGGATTTAGGATATGAAAATGTGAATGCTCGGATTTGCCAGGAAGAGACTAAGAACATAGTTTGGGGAGGTGTTTGATTGAGATGAGGTGTTCTGTGAGCACGATGGGCGGCTGACCATTCAGTCTGCGGGAAGTGAGACTGGTTGTGTCTGTTGTGATGTGGAAGAACAACAAACTCTGAAAGAGCTGCAGGGCTGGGGACATGGGGCCAGGATGAAGCAGAGCTCTGTCCCCATCGCTGCATTTCTTCCTCCCTGCTAATCAGCTGGGCCACA